GTAGGCCTCTATTCTTACCTCCTACTTGGGGAGATGTGTGGAGCCCTAAACTTGTGTCCTTGAATGTTCCTCGATCTCTCACCTTTAGGCCTTTCATTCTTATTATCACATTCATTGCTTTAGTGTAGCACTTAGTTAGAGCTGAGAAAATCCAAGGAGTGTCAGCTCTTCACCATCGGGGTGACTGCTTAGGGACATCTTTGCTGTAGGCTTCATTTATCTTTTATTCTTCTTTCTATCTTCCTGCCTTCAGTGTGCTGCCCAGAGGGTAGAAAATGCTTAATCATTTAGATGTTTATGTAAGTTTTAGGAGACCCAGGATATTTAAAAAAAAAAATCAAGAACAGGGAAGTATTTTCATTAGCATTTACATCTGAAGAGCCAGCTTTTGTTTTGTTTTGGTTTGTTTTCAAAAAGTAACTAGAATTTTTTTTTTCCAAATCATTGTTGAAATGGCAGGGGGTATTATTGATCATTGTTTTCCTAATAACATTTGTGCTTACTTCTGAGGTTTTTCAAATTGTGGCGACATTACCAAGGTTCCATTTCAATGTATTCTTACTATGTTTCCTTCCTCTGTTTTCTCTGGTGTCATCACCAAAGGTCTTCTCACATGTTTTCAGGACCAGCAAACCAGAAAGTAATACATGGGATCCAACTGAGGTAGCTATGACTGTCCAGAACCCCGATGGACTAATTTGATGGGCCTTTTTTTCCCTTAAAGATTTAATATTCTAGTTATTACCTGTTGATTTCTGTCTAGCCATGAACCATTTAGAGGGAGAGAAAGAGTTCATATGGAAGCATGAACAACCTGTGGCCCATGGCTACATGCACCCTAAGACAGCTATGATGTGGCCTAAAACAATACTGTGAACTTACTTAAGACATTATCACACACACAAAAAAATTGTGACTCAATTGTGTGGTTCTTTTTTTTTCCCCATTGCCATGTGCTTTTAATGAGAAACACAACCACAAAGACCACAGAGAAGTATCTGTGTTATCGAACAAACAAACAAACAAACAAAAAACAAAGCAAAACAAAAAAACAAAACTAACCATTCATAATACTTCTGCAGTGATTTTTTTTAGGTTACACGTAAGCTGGAGCTGAAGGACCCCAGATTTCAGGCAAATTTCTAACCTTCAAAAGCATGACCTGCTTTAGACTTCACATAGGAACAAAACAAAACAAAACAAAACAAAACAAAACAACAAAACATTTTTGTCATTAAAAAGTTACTGGAAAAGTACAACTTGAGTATTCTTGGTTGTCCTTTATTTAAACAAAGAAATCGCCTATGTAAAAATATGGCATTTGGCCGGGCGGTGGTGGCGCACGTCTTTAATCCCAGCACTCGGGAGGCAGAGCCAGGCGGATCTCTGTGAGTTCGAGGCCAGCCTGGGCTACCAAGCGAGTTCCAGGAAAGGCACAAAGCTACACAGAGAAACCCTGTCTCGAAAAACCAAAAAAAAAAAAAAAAAAAAAAAAAAAAAGGCATTTGGCTCTCAGGACAGTGAGGGGCGATGAAAGAAACTATCCGTTTCGACCTGCTAGGCTAGAAGCAAGTTGTTAACACTTTTGACTGCTTTCATCATTGAGAAAAGCCCAAATTGCTTGAGAAATCACAGACTAACAAGTAAAACCCGTCAGAATTGTAGTCTTTCAGGTGTGACTTCACACCCCAGTCTACCAGCTGTGATTGAGCTCTGTAGCACTGGAGGGGTCATCTAGCCTCTCCATGACTCAATTTTGCACCCTTCAATGGAAGAAACAATTGTTTAACATTAGATCTTGGTTAGGGCTGCATATTTTCTCCTTTTCACATAGCACCAGGCAGTATTTGGCACTCATTCAACATAGTTATTACAATTGTGTGGCTCTTTAATGAGAATTTTGTAGATGAAAATGTCATGTTGCAATGTTAAAAAGTTGTACATGTTTGGTAGAGCTTTTCAAAGTATTTCCCTAGGACCATCTGGAAGACTTGTTCAGGTTATAAAATATAAGGCTCCCCACTAGTCACTCTTAGTTATGATCTCAGACAGAGAGACTCATGTCCCATGCTGTTGAGATCTCAAGGTCAGACTGGGCATACTATCTTTTTATCCTAGCTATTTGAGAGGCAGAAGTAGGAAGGTTCCTTGAGTTCAGGAACTCATAACTAGTGTGGTCATCTTAGTCTTTGTCTCTATTGCTATCATAAAAATGCTCTGGTAGAAGTATCTTAGTGGGGAAAAAAGGCTTGTTCTGGTTCATTCAAGATTACAGTCCCTTGTGATGGGAAATCACGGAGATGGAAGCATCTGGTCACACTGAATGCAGAGTCAAGAAGCAGAAAGCAGTAACTGTGCTCACTCAGCTTTCTTTCTGCTTCCTATACAATCCAGGATTCTAGCCCAGGGAATGGTGCCACCCAGAGTGAACCAGTCTTCTTACATGAATTAACCTAGTCAACATAATCGATCACTGGCAGGTGCAGAGGTCTATCCCCCTGGGTAATTATAGTTCTAGAGTTAACTATCAACATTAATCATCATACTCTGAGGCCTGTGTCTTCAAGGAGAAAATGATAAAGAAATTGATGAAGATCTGTAGGTCCTTTTGATCACACTGAAGTTATAACCTTGGCAATATGCTGTTTAAAGAGTTAGTTTCTTGATGAAATGTTAGTAATATCATTTGTCAGCTGAATGACTGGCAAATGAAATACTTCTCAGGAGGGCAATATAGAATCTCAGACAGGAGAGATGTTCTAGTTTTTATGCCTGAGGCTGAGTACCTGCTCACCAGCTGGCACAGCCCCAGGATAGCATTTACCTAATACACACTCACAGCAAAGCTGGCTGCCTCTAACCCTGGCCATTCTGTGGTGTTCTAAGTTGTTTTCTTCCCACTTACTTTACATTAGTTTAGTTTAAAATAACTTAGCTCATTCATTTTTATGACCAAAACATCTGGGAAAACCCAGACATTTCTATTGCATTTTTAACAGGGTAAGTGAATTTAATTCGTATTTCCTGCAGCTGCTGTTTCCCCTCCTACTGGGTTCTTGGGCATTCATTCCATACCTACGCAACACGATTTCATCACATGGATATTAGGAGGAAAACTTCTTTCTATTTTAAATCAGTTCAGCAGGAACCTGTAATTCTATGAGATATATAGGCACAAATGAGCAAGTTAAGTCTGGGTCAAGGTGACCTAGAAAGTTCAAGCTTAGGGGCTCCTGACAAATGACCTCTAATAAAAGATCTAGAATTTGTTTTGCTACCTCCCAGTTGTCCAGATCAAATGGCTTATTCCTTAATAAAATGGCAGAGGTGGGGGTGATGACACACACACACACACACACACACACACACACACACACACGCACGCACGCACGCACACACACACACACACACGCACACACACCACACACACACACACACACACACACACACACACACACACACACACACACCCCAGTGCTGACATTGAAGACACTGTTGCCTCTTTTCACTTGAAATGGTTGCAGGCAAAGGTAGGTCTAATAAAGCAGAGGTTCGTCTCTGCCAGATTACTAATTTGCTGTTGGCCCTGGTTACTGATGGTGCCGTTATCAGTGCATTTCTCCACAGATATAAGTGTGGTTCCCCATCTGTGACCTGTTACATGGTGTATACACTGTATTTATTCATTTTAATGTCATCACTTTAAACAGATGTTTAAACATGCCAATATGTCCCCCTGATAAATGCACATTCCTTGGTATAGACTTGAATGTGTCATCATTATACAGTGTCTAGCCATGTATATGGTATGGTTTTTTAGAATTATTTTTAAATTGTGAACTATCAAATTAGATTTTAGGAATAATACAGACCAGGATTAGAAACTAAATGAATGCAAGGCCTGTGAACTTAACGCAGCATGTGAAGAGTACATCATAAGAACAGATTTATCCAGGACTGAGACCCTGAAGATGCCATGTCCACCTAAAAACCAAGAGATGCAGTTTTCCATAGAGGCCAAACTGACATTTGCAGTCATTCTCTACTGGTCACTCGTTTAAACTCACTGATCTAAAAACTATGCATTCAAATGAAGCTCACCATTCTGTTGAGTCAGATTCTCAGATATTCAAAGTCTAGCTTCATCATTTACAATTTGTGCAATCTGGAACAATTTGATGAAATTCTGTGTGCCTTAGTTTACTCCAGAAAATGGTAATAATCATACTATCTCTATCATAGGATAATTTGATTTTTAATTTAAAAAAATGGATGACAGAATAGTGCCCAAATACTAGGTACTTTCATTTTCACTACTTAGGGAGAAAATTGAAATTCGTGGAGGCTGGTACATTTGTCAGTCATTCATCTTACGGTGCAGTGATTACAGTAAGACCCAGGCACCGAATTCCAGGTTGGGTGTGCTTACTGTTCAAGCACACTTTGGGTCGTTTGCAGCAGAGCCTCCCTCAGTTTCACTTAAACATCACCAAGAACTCCCAGACACACAATCGTTTCCCATGGTTATGTGAGGTTGGGGGCCTAGAGCCAGACCCACTTGCCTCCATGCCACCCATTTGATACTGAAGATTCAAAAGTGAAGCTCTGCACTGAAAGACTTAAAACCTAAGTGACGATCAAAAGCCAGGGTAGGGCCTGCTGCTCCACATGTCAGAGTGTCCTGGAAGGCTGGGTGCCTCTGTTAGCACTAACACAAACTTTCAGATATAAAAATAAAAAATGAGCATGGACAAATCCCTTGAAACCATGGGAAATGATACCCACTAAAGCCCCTTACAGCCATCTTTCTGTCACTTAGCAAGGAACAGAAATCATGATGCTCATGATTTATAGCCTTAGTTCAACACAGAACTGCTTAACATTGCCTATAACTCAAGATTTTTCTCAACCATTTCACTAGTCATGGTAATTACTCAAGATCCCAGTGGGAAGAAAGGTATGGAGATCTCCCTTCTCACAGGCCTTCTGTCTCATTATAGGACATGCACATCATCAGTACAGATGAGAACCAAGTGTTTGCAGCCGTCCAAGAATGGAACCAGAATGACACGTACAACCTCTACATCTCAGATACACGTGGGATCTACTTTACTCTGGCTATGGAGAACATTAAGAGCAGCCGAGGTCTAATGGGAAACATCATTATTGAATTATATGAGGTATGTAGCCAAAATTATCCCTCTCTGGATTGACCTTTCTTTTCCATGTGTTTTAAATTTATAAGTACAAGTATTGTAATCCTGTGTTTGACTCCAGCTCTTTCATTGGCAATTGCATTTTGAGGCAAAGGATGTAACTTCTTTGTACCCCAGTTCCATATAAATAAAGGTAAAGTGCTTGTCTGGTGACCTTATTGTGAGATGAGTGGCATGGTTTATATAAAGAATCAACTGTCCCAGTAAAGTCAGTGTTCTCATATGTATGAACATGGCGTGCCAGAACTGAAGGCACACAGCATCGATGATGCCCTAAGTAGCCTTTCAAAACTATACACTTCTTATTATATAACTTTCTAGAAAAAGGAACAATATGTACATGCAGAAATAAGTTTTTAATGATGCTTATGAACACAGCTTAGAGGAAAAGAAGGAAAAATAACAGGTAAGAGAGTAAATGCCACAATGTGGTATGATGAAGAATTTGCCTTGATATGAGTGCATCATACATATATATATATATATATATATATATATATATATATATATATATAGTGTGTAATATATATAGTATACAATATAAAACATATAATATGTGTGCCAGTTAAAGGACACTTTCCCTAGGAATCCACATGAGTACACACAGAAATTGAAGAAAACATTAGTTACGGCTCTCTAGAAATGTGATGCTTCTTTATGTCTTTAAAGTCAATATATGACCTTTGACAGCACCAGGAAGAAAAATGAAGTGACTTGAATTATCCTAGGGATGTGATGGGTTCAGTCTTGCAAAGAGTGTGTCTTGTGTGCCAAAAATAAACAGTGACTGGTGGCTAAACCCACACAGGTTATGATGAGTGAGTTCAGTCAGCTCTGGCTGGGCCCTCAGATAACCTGGATGAGCTTTGCTCTGTTGAGTTTCCCTGTCTACAGAGTACAGGTGGCTCTTTGGAACAGTAGCAGAACAGAAGGTTTGGTACATGGTCCTGTGGACTTGCCTGATTAGTTTTTGTCCAAGTTCTGGCATCTGTCATTGGTATCTGAGTTGTCTATTTATTCACCACCTACTTACTTCCAGGCCCCCACCCTCACATCCCATTCCCAACTTTATGACTTATTTTTTACTTTTTTTCACATTTCACTGAGACAGGTTAGTACTGCCCGTATCTGCACAAGTGTGCGGCCATCCTCTGAAGCATGCTCAACTTATGACTACCATACTCTTAGAGTAAACTGAACTCCCTCCCCTAGCAGCCATCATCTGTAAGCAGCAACCTAGCCAGGGTTAAGAACTTCTGTGACTCTCCCTCATCTATGCTGGGATGTCCACTGCTTTTATCTTGTGCAAGTCTAAAATGACTCGCTTTAACAACAAAGTCTTATTTAAGGAACGTCCAGGTAGAAGACTGGGAAAAAAGTCTAAGGGTATAGATAACTTTAGTAAACCTATATTCCTTTACCTTTAACCTAATCAGGAGACAGAAACATGCCTTTGCTATTAGCAGTAAATTATGTCTTGGGGCATGCTTTTGAGGAATATTCCCAAGATTCAGGCCATTCCAGTTTCCTGTTTGTACAAGGACGACTGTGAGGACAATTATTCATGCCCTTGTGGTCTGACCCAAATAGAAAAGTATAGACATTACTGTGGATGACGTCATAGCCAAAAAAATGTAAGTCCCATCTAGAATCTATGGTGTCCATTTCTAATCTCAACACTCAGAGAGCTGAGGCAAGAGTATCATGAGTTCAAGTCCAGGCTAGGCTACATAGAAAGATCCTAAATAGATTAACAATAGATGACAGACAGACAGACAGACAAATAAGAAGGAAAAAGGAAGAAATAACCGTATTTCTGTTGTTGTTCTTGATGAAATGGGTGAGTCTGCCACTGTGCTGTTCATTCTCTAAGACAGGGAGCCTGTGTCTCCATGGTGATTTAGAACCTGAGATGCTGTTGGGCATGAATCAGTATGAAGGATATGCCCAGGTCCATGTAATTTTTTCTCACTACTGAAGTTGGTCTTGTATTTCAGTGTCACCGGGGGAAAATGCCTGATGCTACTGCTTTTATAGAGAAGGAAGTAATAGTAGGCAAGGCAACCTCTTTAAAGCAAGCTCTGTGAGGCTGCTCTCCGCTCAATTTTATCACCGTTGATTGTGCTCGTGCCCTGTGTTCAAAGTCCTGACAAAATCCTCTGGGAGCTTGCATTCTAGTCTGCTGTGTTTTGAATAGGTCAGTAAGCAAACTACCTGCTTCCCCTGTCCAACGATAGACCCAAACTGAAGCAGAGAGGAATGAAACAAGTGGAGGCAGACGTAGCTTTTTGTCTGCTTGTTTCTGAGGTTGTTTTTTCAGCTTATCACTTTGTTATATAAGAAAACGTACCCCCAAACTGCACTCATCCATTTAGTTCTAGGCATAAATAGTCAATCAAACATGCTTCTCTGGCAGTGTGATTCTGAACAGCAGTGAGGTACAGCAAGCATATATAAATTGTTCAGTTGGATCTGAAAACAAGGGACATCATGATGAGCTCTATATGCCCAGTTTTTTCTCAGAATGACCCATTTTCTTCTCAGTCCCACCAATACCCTCTGGAGAAAGTAGTGGAGAAGTGTGACTCATCCCAAGTGTTAAGAATGGTAGGAACCAAGGGCTTGACAGACAGGTTAAATTTTTGATGAAGTGTGCTAGCTATTCTAATTGTACAGAATAATGCTTGTCAGGGACATGGGTGAGAACTGGATAATTGATTAGATTTCAGATTCTAGAAGGCATTTAATAATAAGTGAATAAATTGGAGCCTGACATTATCTAGACCATGAGCATATTGAAGATTTTTTTAATAGATGATGCTGTTTTGTACCCAGAGATACATTCTCTGGTTTGGAGATAAAGCTCAATTTAATTGGTCTCTAGGGGTCATTAGGATTTAACCTTCTTCACTGGAGATTCTTATACAAAGATAGAGAGTGAGAATGGGGAACCATATGGCCAGTTAGCAAAGAGAATATATTTCTTTTGGATTTCAAGTGCCCTTGAGTAATGCCGCTGGGAAAAGCAGTAAAGTTTCATGTATAATTCAGCTAAACACATACACTTTAACCAAATACATTTCGTCGGGTGATATGAGGACTGATGTGTAATGACAATGTACTGGACAAGTATAGGTGATCCTACCAAGGTAAAGACCATAGTCTACCTTGTATTGGAGGCACAATTCTGCTATGTTGTGAGGTTATACAGGAGGAAGTTGAATTCTAACTTGAGGAATTTGTGGTGACTTAGAGGTGACTTGGCTTCAGTGATGAATGGCTGGAGAAAGAGTTTAGGGAGCTAGAGTCAGGTAACGGATATCTGTTTTCATAGAATGTTGAATGGCTTTGTTGAGTAGAGGGGATAAAGATCATAAAGATACGGTACAGACTTGACACACATTTGATACAGAGGTGGACATTTACTCTGGGTTTGTGTTTCCTACCTTTCTTTCACATTTACATCACCAGCAAATATTTACACATGTACTGATCCAGCTTAATTTGTGACCTTAAAATGTAATAAGTTAGCACAGCTATTTCCCTTCTCTGAAGGAGAGATACTTCTAGGGAACTATCAGATAGTGGGTGGCTTGGGTCCACGTTGACCACCTACAGCTGCTGGTGCAGTGTTCTGTCTTCCCTGAGTCTCTCATGCTGCATGACAGAATAAAAGAATGAAAGGGAGGGATTTCCCTTGCAAGCCTTGGCACCAAGTTTCCTTCGAGAAGGTAGTAGACCAGCTCCACTGAATTCCCACTAACCAGAAAAGGCTGACACAACTTTGAGGGCTAACCTGGTGCAGTAATCTACAGCTATAGACATTCTCTTGCTACTTTATTCTCTAATTCCAACTTCAAAATAAAAACATTTCCATTGCTATAATTGTATAGAGGAGAAAGTAGTGTTTGATGGTAAAATAATCATTGGTTTCTTCTGCAAGGTGCCAACAGCCCACTCCTTTAAACAAGGCTGCTGTTGACCGTGAATCAGTTGAATGCAGTACTTTATGAGTGATTTTACTTATATTTGGACAATTTTTTCATACAGTGTAGTATTGTAGGTTTTTTCGTATTCCTAACAATAAACTATATTCCATTTAGTTATTCTCCACTAATAAATAATAAAAAAATCTCATAAACATTCATTCCAGTACCCACAGTTGAGCTAAGATTTCTTAGTCTGATGAATATTTTTGATGCTTCCCTAGATATTAAATATTCAACTTTTAACTCCTTACAGTAACATAGGGTTAGCAGCCATGCCTGAGACCAGCACTGTAAACTACAGTAAACACATAATTTAGACCTGTTTTCCAAAAACAAAACCCACAAGCTACAAATAGATTTCAAAATTATTACAACAAAATTTTATAGTAAAAAATGAACAGATGAATTTAGTTATAGAAATACATTCAATTTCAGTAAAAAGTTTTCCAAAATATTTGTTTCATATACACTCAAGAAGAAAACACTCATGAGATATTTTGTATTTTTTATACCAAGTCTGAAAGCTCCATGTTATATTTCATATTTCCAACCCATCTCAAATCATATATTATTTTTTATCAGAAGTATTTGATCTCTAATTGTATTTCATAAATTATATTATAGGTAAAGGGGAGTCACATACATATGAATATACTGGGCCAGTAGCCAAATTGAATATCAACTCAAATTAACATTGATTAAACTAAATAAAATGAAAAATGTCTCTTACTCTCACTAACTAGCTACACTCCTAAGTACCATGTGTGGCCAGTGGCTCCTATGGTGGGTCTTGCAGACCACAATCTCAGATACACTATTGTTTGTTTCCCTTTATGGTATGAAGTGTATCAGCAAATGTTCATTTTTATTGCTGAGTAGCATTCCATTCTGTTATAGTTAATATTCATCAGTTGAAGAGCACTTAGGTTGCTTCCATTTTGTGTGATTGTGATTAAAACATATATAATTACCCAAATGAACATTACCTTTTAGTTTTCATGAGTAAACACTTAAAGGAAGGATTGCCAAATTAAATATAAATATATGTTCATGAAAAGCCATCCAAGTGTTTTTAAAGTGGCAGTTCATTTTGAGGGTATGAGTTTGTCATTGTTTTACTCGTTCTTCAGCACTTGGTATTATCTTGTGTGTGTGTGTGTGTGTGTGTGTGTGTGTGTGTGTGTGTGTGTGTGTGTGCGCGCGCATGCGTGTACATGTACTCATATGCATTTAACCATTCTGATTACAGCCTGGATGCTTTATCATTGGAGGTTCATTTTTTACTTCTCTAGTAACTGCTGAACTTTCTATGCATGGTCAGATAAACTGTAACAGTTTGAGTGAGCCCCCGTGTCCCATTTTTTTGCCTATTAATTGATATTTTGTTGCCTTACCTGTTTCTAGTGCCTCATTCCATTCTATCTGCTGTTATAACCTTAGGTGACCATTCCTGGTCCAGATGGACAGCTGCTTCTGAACCCCACAGAGACTGTTTTTCTGCGCTGACCTTGGTCAGACCCTTACTGTAATTCTGATATGAGGGACAGCCCACGGCAGATCATGCTAATTGCTTTTTCTCAGCAGATCCCTGGTTTTCTTGTCCTGAAGTCCTAGGGACATGTCCAACAGATGACCATACCACCTGGACGCCATGATCTGCCAAGGGACCTGCAGTTACTGTCCCTCAGCTCCTCAATCTGATTCCCAGAGGGAAATTAAGCATTGCCAACCTGATACTATTGGATTAACTTTTCCTGGGGTGATGAAACTAAATGTTTGTTCACCCCAGATAGGGCATCAAAAGTAAGAGTCTACCAAAGTCCAACTTGGAGAGCCTGTGTGTTTGTAGGACTGGTGAAAGGTCACTTCCAGGAGCATGAGTGATCCTCTGAAACAGTTACATCACCACAGAGCTCCACTCCATCAGGGCTGCATGCAAACAGCATCATGGAGTCAACCTTTCACTTAACCTTCCACTTCCTATGCACTATAGCATCTTCCAAGATCACTTGCATATATGGGAGGATGGGAGGGAATAATGGCTACTATCCCAGATAAGAGTCTTGTGACATCTTTCTCCTCTTCCTTCCAGAGTCTGTCAGTAGTCTGTTAACATTACAATGCACCTAGTTATTTTTGTGTTGTTCTCAATTAGTTGCCATGGCTACCTACCCAAAGATTAAAGGTAATCTTTAAGATGGTGATCATGTTATGCACCAAGAATAAAGCCATACTACAACAGACACTTGTACCCTGTTGTGGGCACCATCACAGGCTTCTCACTAGGCTTCCAAGAACACCACCAGCAGCCACACTAATGATTTCCTATTACAATGGGAGAAAGAATATTTACAGTTAATGGAATGCTAAGTGCCTCCTCGGATGAAGAACAAAAATATGTACCTCACTTCTTAATTCCATTACACTCCATGCAGTGAGGCTAAGAAGTACTGAAGGTTCCCTCATGTCAGAGACGTGTCCAAACATATGTCTCCAAACACATAGATGTGGACATGACTATTAGAATGTAGAATGAATATATTTCTAAGTTGGGTTGCAACCAAACATTGAAAGTTCTTGGCCTGAAAGACACAGCATCTAAGTGGTCTTCAAACTGATGTCCATTTATTCGTACAAGACATAAAGCCAAGAATCATCCCAGAAATGATATACAGACTGTGAACCATCCCCACACAAATGGCATGTGCTGTGGTTTTGTGTCCAGCTGCAGGGGAAACAAGTTTAGGCTGCTTCAAGAGATTTCTGTGGAAATATCTCTTTTCCCACAACTATTGGTCTCCATTCTCTTGGTTTTGAAATTGCCAATCTTAGTAGCGGGTGGTGCTCTCATGGGGGAAATGGAACAAGCACATTCTGTTTGTTTAACATGCTCATCCCGTGTATTTGCACAAGCCCGTTCTCATGCAAGGATGTCGCAGAGATTTTCCAGCAATTAGGTGGTCCTGGCCCCAGAGTCAGACCTGTTGATTTTCTTCTAGGAAGTAACCAGTAAGGCCCTGAGTGTGAGTTACAGGAGGGCAACTGATTTAGGAGAGAGTTCTCTCACAGACTAGCAATGATGGTACCAGCTTTGTGGCCAAAGAGAACACCAGAAAGGGCTTCCCTTTAGTAGGAGGATTTGCAGAAAGTAAAGCAAAATCCAGTCTCTAGGGGACATGCAAGGAAGCCAGATTTAATCAGGACCATTTGCAGTGGACTTTAAAGAACAAGTTTGGGGCTGGAGAGATGTTGTGCAGTCCTGAAGATAATACTTCAAATCCTAGTACTAAGTAACAAGACAGGCACCAAGAAAGTGCCTACAATTTGGGCTTCAAGGGATCTGGTACCCTTTTTGGGCTTACGCACACACTCCCACTCATAATCTATCACACATATACAAGTAAATAAATGAAACAAACCTTAAAAAATACCCAGGCTGCCTGGGAATGTGTGAGATTGGAGTCTTTCTAAAGTACACTAACTGGAAGCTGTTGAGACAGGAAGGGAACCGCTAGGGACCATGCCACTTGTGCAGCAAGCCCATCATCCTGACACAGTTTCTCTGCCTCCACCTCATTCACCTCAAGGTATCATCTAGTCATCAGTTTCATCCACCATTGTCAAATTCCTCTGGTGCTGTCCTTTCCTGATAATCCTATTCTCCTCCTGACATTCTCTGTCCATTTGCTTGAGGCTTTTTTACTTTTTTGTTTGTCTGATTTGGGTTGACGGTCTCCAAGGCCAGTCAGGTTACTACAAAAACATACTAAAAAAGCCCTTAGTTCATCAACTAAAGTATATCGTTTAGGTGAAAAGAAGAAAAGTAAAGAAAAAAAGCCCACTTGTGAAACTTCTCCTTTCCTCCCACTGGTGTTCCATCAGAGCTGTAGTGAATTTCAATTAACCATGATCCTTGAAGAATGGCAGATACGTAAAATTAGAACCTTAAAACTTCAGTATTGTCCAGTGTGTAACACATGCCTGGCAAATGCAGTTTGAGAAAGGAATGGCTTATCTTGGCACACAGTTTGAGGGATAGCACTTCACGATGGGAGAGTCACAGCAGCGCAAGGGTAAAGTGGCTGGTCTCCAGTCTTTTGTCTGTATTCTGGAAGCAGAGGTAGATGAATAATGACAAGCTGGCTTCCTCCTTTTCATTCAGTTTGGATCCCCAGTCCATGGAATAGCACAGTCCTCCATTCAGGATAGAGCTTCCTTCCTCAGTTAAATCTTTTTGGAAACACCCTCAAATGCATACTCTGGGGTGTCTTTCCATAGGAGCTCTAAATACAGTCCAGTTGGCAATCAAAATACATCCAACAAACCCGCCATTCAACTGTGTGTGTGTGTGTGTGTGTGTGTGTGTGTGTGTGTGTGTGTGTGTGTGTGTGTACAGTTCCCAGTTGGGTATACACATTAAACACACAAGCATACACCCCCACCCCCACACAGAAAAATGATCTTGTTTTTAATTCTCTCTCTCTCTCTCTCTCTCTCTCTCTCTCTCTCTCTCTCTCTCTCTCTCACATCCTCTTTCTCTTTCTTTCTCTTATTTATCACACACACACACATAATCTTGCTTATGTTTTGTCTTTGGAATATGCTGATAATTATAAGAATCTTTTTTCTGTTACAGGCCATTGTCATTTTAAGAATCTGTTCTCCTTTCCAGTACATAGAATATCAGTTAAGTGGAATTTGTACTTAGCCTAGGGTACATGTAATTGATAAATCAACTCCAGCTACTTGTTTTACAGTGGTGCTCTTTATTCCTTCAAAATATCAAGGACATGAGAATCCCAATACATTAAGAACTCTGGCAAGAACACTGCATTATCTCACAGGACCTTTGTCAGCCAACTAGGGAAGAGAAGAGAAACCACCAATTTTAAAGTCATCTAAAGATACTATGTGAATTACCCAAAGTCCTACAGTGAGCTAGAGGTGTGCACTGATACCACTTCTCCATGCTGAAGGATCTGTCACACATTGTCTGCCCCATTTCTAAGAGTTCTCAGTGGCTGCCACCACAAAGAGTGTTCCCTTGGTGATGTCAAAATCTGTCTACTAGAATCACTTTAGCTAAAACAGCTGTCTCTGAAAGGGGTAAATCCTTTGGTCATTATCAGAGTAACTGCTAATAATCAATTAAAGATAACACTACAGAACAAAGAACAAAGACAGGCAAAGTGAGGAAAGTCTGAAGGGTAAAGTGTGTGTGTGTGTGTGTGTGTGTGTGTGTGTGTGTGTGTGTGTGTGTGTGTGTAGGGATTTGGTTCAAGGTGTGAAGGTAAACAGGGACCTTGGGGAATGTGGCATTCCCTACTGCGTTCCTTTCTTCTATTTTGTACCCCCTTGTACCCTGTGGAAGATGCTGGTGATTCTTTCAGGGTTTCTCCAAGGCTGCCATCATTTTTGCCCAACGTGGTTCTCCATCTCTCGCCTTTTTCCTAGGTAGCAGGTATCAAGGGGATATTCCTGGCAAACAAGAAGTTGGATGACCAGGTGAAGACGTACATCACTTACAACAAAGGCAGGGATTGGCGACTACTACAAGCTCCAGATGTGGACCTGAGAGGAAGCCCAGTGCACTGCTTACTGGTCAGTTATCAAGTCCCATATGGAGTTCACAGGGCAGGTTGCTTCCCTAGGGATACTGCTTCATGGTCTCCTTCCAGGATTAGATCTTAGGAACTTGATCTTGGTGCTAAGCTACGTAGGGAGCACAGGCCCACAGGCTCAGACCACTATACCAACTGCATGGAACACTTAGTGGATTGCACGGGTTTTCATTTGGAATAGGCAATGTCTTAACAGCATATGGTAAAATAAAGAAGTGGAGAATGAGACTGCACTTCTAAGTAAAAGTCCCAGACAGGACTCAGTAGGGCTAACCCATCTGTTAGCTGCTAGTTTGCTCAGTGCTGAATAGATGTCATTGTAAGCAAAGATTACCTTGGGAACCCAGGAGGGTCAGACAGGACTGTCTGCACAGGATGGTCAGTTAACCTTTTAGCTTTTGAAGGTCCTTGCTATTGGAGAATATTGAGGCAGACAGTGTGGAGGACATGATGTGTAAGATGACATTTCTGCCCCAAGGTGCCTCAACTTAAAGTGGCGAGGAAAGGTAATTAACAATAAAACAACCATCAGTTCCCTGTTAGTAAATGCTTCTACCAGAGGCCATTCTAAGATCTCAGCTATGAGACTGTGTTCATCCTCAGCCATGAGTTGTCTTCTGCCATGCACACCAAGAGATGCATCGCCAGGTGACTTCTAGACACTGTGTTAAAATCTAGAGACATAGTCGAGTCTAGGTCAGGCAGGGCCACTACTATGTTGTAATTTTCAGTCCAATTCCATACTTTGGTGTGTTTAGTGTTTGCTGTGGCTTTGGTTTGGATATGAGGAATGTCACACAAATGGCTGCCTACTCACTGAAACAGCTCACAGAATCACTGGTTGATTTATTCTTTTTGCTGCCAAACCTCAGTGATGACTTCATCTTACTCTCTTCATCTAATTTTCTCTTTATCTCAGCTTATCTTCATCGTATTTATTTTTATTTTATATGCTTATCTCTATATATCCCCAAACCCTTTTATAATGGTCATAGGAAACTAATTGGAAAATAGTTCAGTGTTCAGTGAATTTCAGATAATGGCCCAAATTATTTCAAGTAAAATGATAAACAGGATCAAAATACACAAACACACAGAAATAGATAGACTATAGCTTAAGAAACTAGTTGAGGACCTCGACTATGTCACGTAGTTACCTCTCTTCATTCCCCTTGGTGGTCCCTTAGAACTCTAATAAGCAGGATTTGATGGTTACCATCAGATCTGGAAGGACATTTGTCATCCTTTGTTAAAGAAAGGACTAGGGAGCTTCCTAAATCTAACCACGAATTAGACCTTGAAGCCTAGATTGACTGCAGAGGAGAGGAGAAGGCATTTGATATTGAATGAGAGCAGGAGAGGAAGAAACTGTGAGCAACACTTGGGGCAGCTTCTAATGGGAAGCGCTGGGTACATCAGGCAGACGGGTCTGGAGTTGAGCATCCAAACAGTTGATGTTCCTAGGTGATGCACTGTGCAAGCCCTTCCTCTTGTGCAGGATAAGGGCATGTCCGGAGTTTCTTGAGATGAAGTGGTTTTTTTTCTTTGTTTTAGCCCTTCTGTTCCTTACACCTTCATCTGCAGCTCTCTGAAAACCCATATTCCTCAGGGAGAATCTCTAGCAAGGACACAGCCCCTGGACTTGTGGTGGCCACAGGTAAGGAACACTCCTTTGGCTTTTTCCTCACCAAGGGCTTCTGGGGGAAGGTTTGTGGCTTATGTGTGGGTCATGGATTCATTTGAGCATTAGATGGAAACTCCCCAGAAAATGAGCAAGATTCTTTCATCTTCAAAGCCCACTATCAGAAACAAGGTTGCAAAGAGCCTTGGACAGTCTTAGCTTCTAGGTTAATTCATCCTGCCTCCAGTCCCAGAGGGGTCCTCAGAGTCTAGTGAAAGGTCAGCCTTCCTGTCAAAGTCAACTGACTAATCAGATTGTAACAGGGACTTCTCAGTTTGAGAAAACATGCAGTATGAACTTCCCAGCTCTCCAAATATCAGTCAGGGCAGTTTTCTCTTTCCAAAGAAGATACTTTACACAGGGTTTCACCCCAGAGCTGTTTTTAATCAGGAGGTCTCTGGCGCATGTAAAGGTTTGTTTACACGTGATTAAGCACTTGGCAGAGAGCCTGGGGGAAAGGGCAGAAAAACTTCAGGTTGCATTGTTGCAGCCACTGACCACTGAACATCAATCAGAAGTGACAATAAAGCAACTCTCAGATGAAAATGAAAGTCTCTGGGGGATGTGCCTTGATTAGCATGCATTTCATTTGCATACACCTTTCCAGGAATACATTGTTGGCATAAAGCAAAACCAGCTTCTAATCTTAGAACTTACAGCTCTGGTGTCAGGTAGCTTTTTTCCCTCTTCTCTAATGAAAGCAGATGAATTCACAGTGACTTTCTGAGGATATAGTTTTCCTCCACCAATCCAACACTCCTGTATCTGGATCCCCTGTTCTTCTAGACATGCATTCCACCTCCAAAGCTCCAACCCAATGAATTTTCAATCACTAGCAGCCATCAAGGACTTTAATCAGCTTGGTGGCTGCTATAGTTTGCTGCTATCACAGGTAGCTTGTCTTCAACATGTGTGGACAGGATCCAGCATGACTAACTAACACTACTGTGACAAGCACAGGCTCTTTTGCTCTGGTCCTAGATTGGAGAGTAATACCCACACCCACAGTCCACATGAGTTAGTTCTTCAAGCTCAGGGACCATTAGCCTATCTATTTTCTCATCAAAGTCTACAGGAAACCCCAGAAGCTATGGTGGGAAATAGTGGTCAGTCATAAAAGTGGACATTATTTGAATGCTTCTGATGATAGCCAGGTATTGCTCAAGCACTCTGAACTTTTGTGTTTTGATTGGCAATGTAGGGATGATAAAACTAACAGAGATGAATTGCAGGGATACATGAAGGAATGAATTCCAAATGCTCAGGACATACTGGCTCTGCATAAGACACCTATTATCACCCTGTATCTTTGAGGTTAAAGCTGTTCTTGCATCAGAAGAATGAAGTTTGTTTTTCTCCTTCAGTAAGATCCATAATTACATGCATGCATTATGCATGCAGTGAAATTCAGGAACCCTGTCATCCAGCTCTCTAAGCTGAGCTCTGACACTGACTAGGCTGGTGCATTTGGTTTGGATTTTTTTAACTTCTGAGCTTCATGCCTTCATCTGTAAAACAGAAATGTGTCTTCTTCCTTAGGAAGATATTGCAAGAATAGAGAGAGAAGACCACATTGATAAGACTGAACAAAATAGAGTAGGTGAGACAGTATTGACCACACACACTTCTAAAGTAGTCTAATGTTATGTCTTTAATGATTTAGCGGGCATTCAGGAATTAATATTTATATTCGAGTGTTTAGTCATGTTATCATAATTTACTAATTACCTTCCATTGCCCACAAACTCCTGAGGCTTCTTACCAGCCATGGAGCATCTTGAGAGCTAAGACACAGATGACAAGATCTTGAGCTAATGTGCTGGCTTCTGCTTCCTTGTACCCAGCTTCCTTTACTTTTTTGGCCTGGTTTCTGTGGGAGATAATTTTCCTTCAGGAAAATAATTAAGAAGTCATACCAGTTTTAGGGAATAATTAGAAAATAATTAGGAAATAACAGTTATGCAAGGTGTTATGCAAGATATAAGATACCTTCCTTATATATATGCCCTATGCCCTCTGTCTGCCTGAAGAACTCAGGGCTCTGACTCCTACTCTTTGTATGTTCACTTCCTCTTTCCATATTGTCCTGAGAACTGATCTCAAGGAAGCTGTGGATGAATGCATGCCCTGAAATTCCTTTCACCCTCTTATTGAGGATGTCTCTGGAGTATTTGGTGGTTTATTTAGTGAGCAGAAGCATTAGGGTTCCCTATATCTTGAGTACTGGCTCCCACTACTAGTGAAGAACTTGCATCCTCAGCTCAGAGCACCTTACAATATGAAGGTTTTCCTTATCTTGCCTTGATGATATAGCAATGGGATAGATGAGACAATGACAATCCCCTTCAATTTATACATTCTGAAATAGAGGGCAAGATGGAGGCAGCATCATGACCAAGCTCACTCAACTTACTGCAGAATAGTGGTTAATCCTGTAATCATCAAACACCAGTCCACATCCCCTAACTGTGCCACCTCCATGGCTAACCCACTCATGCACTGCTTCCTATAAACTCTGATTGTCCACATTCCATATTGCCCCAGTTCTCCATTCAGTTGGCTCTGTGTGTGTGTGTGTGTGTGTGTGTGTGTGTGTGTGTGTGTGTGTGTGTGTGTTTTACCTTCTTTTTCCTACTGAACCCTTGGCATCCCTGCCAGGAAAGGTCCTTTTTCTGTCGTTTGGAGAAGCCTGTCTAACCCAGAATGCTCCAGGATTCTTCCTCTTTACTTCACACGTGTTGAAAGAGCAGAGAGTGGTTACAATGACAGGAAACAGATAAAAGTGAATAAAGCTCTGACAGTATAACCTTGTTTGCTTACACACTAAGCCATTGGTAAGAAAGCTCCCCATTTTCCTGCCTCCTGCCCCTTTCCTGCTTCCTAGATGCCCCTCAGGCAACCACAACGCTACCACCTTCCAGGATGCTCAGTAACCACTCTGCCTGACCCTACTTCCACCTTGCCAATGAAGCCTTTAAGGTTTTCCTTCTCTGACGGCATTGCCTACATTCTTTTGGTTACAATTGCCTACTGAGTTGCTTAAAGAACATGGCCAAACATAAAATAAGACTGGAAAATGTCTACTGTGTTTCTCAGTATGGGAACCTAGTTTCTGGTCCCTGTGATTAGCCGTGTATTTCTCAGGGTGCCATTCAGATGTTGGAAGATCCTTCTGAAAACAGACTCTGTAAAGTGGACTTCTGACCACCACAAACCTGCTGACTCAGCATGGTGACACTTTGAAAGAGAGGCTGACAATATCAGAACCACTGTCTAAGGAACTTAAGAGCCAGTAGAGCAGATTCTGAGGGACCATGTGAGGGATGACAAATTTGTAGCTCTTTCCTTTCCCCTCCTTCCTGTTTTTCTTAGTAGACATTACTAAAATATGTAATGGGATATCACAATTTATTTTCTTGACAGCACATATGGCTTCCATATCCTTTTACCACTGTGCTCCTGGTAGCAACCATGGGGCCATGATCTTCTCCACCTTATTTCTTCATAATATTTTTTGGCTGTTTTCCTTTAGACCTGTGCATGAAGAGAGGAATTTCCAGAGAGATATCTACAGTTACTCTCAAAGATCCTCTCCTTTCCTTTTACACCTACTTCCTGAGCCCTAAGCACTGGGGTTATTTTTGGAAGGCTGTGTGTCATAACAAGTTGGCTAGCTGTGTGCTCCTTGATGCTGATGGGAGCTTGACAAGCTGTAGCCAGTTTTAATTTCTCATTTTGAAGTATTAAATGTCAGGAGCTCAATTAACATTTTCATTATTGCATTTTTATTGTGCTCTTATTTAGGTTACAGATGTGTGGGAGCTAACATTCCCTCTCTGATATGTTTAATAAAAAAAATCAACCACTATGATAAACTCTTACATGTTTAGGGTACGTTCTTCATTTTTAACATGTCTACAAGTACACATCAGCCTAAGAACATCATCTAGTTCTTTATTTACACAGGCAATCATTCCACAATTACATATAGTATTGTGTGTAGAGCATTGGTGTAGAATCTGTGATGAGACTGTCCACTAGTAATGCTAGGGCAATATAAGCAGAGTAAAAGTATCTTACTATATTTTACATCTGTTTATTTTGTGTATCTGTGTTTGTATGTGTGTGCACTCAAGCCACAAGTGTATGTATGGAGGTCAGAGAACCATTCAAGAAAACTTCTTCTCTCCTTCCATCAGTAGGTCTTGGGGATCAAGTTCAGTTCATAAAGCTTGAATGAGTTATTTAATTAACCATTTGGACCATCTCTTCTGTTCAACTATTTTCTTTTTCTTGTATAATTTTATTTCTTTTTAATGTCTTTGAATTTTATTATGCCAATTTTAAACATGTATATGTCATATTTTGGTCACTTTCCCTTCCCATTACCTTCTCTATTCACTATCCTCCTCTTCATGAAACCCTTTTTCCCAATGAGCCCCCTCATATTTTAACATCTTTTTTATTGTTTGAGAATTTCATAAATATATATTTTAATCAAATCTATACTTTCCCCTTTCCCTTCCACCCTATCTCCCCACCACTTTCCTCTCCCTACTTTGTGTACTGTTTTTTGGTTTTTTTTAAACCCACTGCATTTCAGTAGATTCCAGTTAGTCAAGAGATAAGTCAGCAAATTAAGTTGGAAACATCTACAAATACACACACATCCATGCTAATACACACACACACACACACACACACACACACACACACACACACACACACACACACACTTGCTTTTCTTAGGCTAGAGTTACACTTGAATAGGAAACCTCTGTTCCCATCCTCTGTGTTTATATATACTCTTCTGCTCCTGGCCATCTTCATTACATACCAGTCAGGAGCTATCTGAAACTGTCTGGGTAGGCAGAGTAAGTGAGTTTATCAATATTCAGTCCCTGAGCCCTACCAGCTAAAGATGCATTTGTGACACACTGTTCACTTGCTTTTCTCATAATGAGTTTTTTCTTTTTCCCTGGCTGGGTTTTTATTTTTAGGTGACCTCAAGAAAGAATGTACACAAATAAACTGTAAGCATCCTTTGGGGAACCTTTACTCTGACACTCCTCTAACGATGAGCACACTTAAAATGTAAACTGTCTGACAATTTCAAATGATATGCTTATGTTTCAGGCAACATTGGCTCAGAACTCTCCTATACAGATATTGGTGTGTTCATCTCTTCTGATGGGGGCAACACATGGAGACAGGTAAGTGCAATGATTCAGGGAGAAGTGAGACATTTAGAGTAAACTCTGCTGGCATCTCCCCTTCCTGCAGGTTCTTAGACTCCTTATGACTTCGTAGTAGAAAACTATTTCACTAGCTCTCTGGTTTAGTGGATCTAACAGGCAGTCTAGAGGGGTAATGGTGGGTGAGAAGACACCTGGGCCTGCAAGTGGAAAACCTAGGCTTGCCCTGGATGACTATGCCATACCTTCAGCAGTATGTATGTAATAGCCTCTGGATGCTAAATGTTGTTCTGGTTCCTGGGGATGCATTGATGAAGCTGTTTCTGTCATTAGTGTGCCAAGGAATCTTGGCAAGCAGTTCTCCCTCATCAGCTTTCTCAATCTGCTTCTGTATCTGCAAAGGGAAAGGATCAGAATGTTGAAACTAGAAAAGTCGTGGAAGTCAATGATAATTTAAGAATTATATAGACCCAACCATCAGTAAATGTAAGACAGCTTAATACATACATGTCTACAAGAAAAATCAATTCAGTGTTGCAAACAATAGAACTTGGAGTGGTGATCTCAATGTCCCACATGGCTGTTGTGTATTTGATATATGCTGAGCATGAACTGAACTTTTAACTCATTAAGTTTAATGTAAGTCATCACATGTGACTACTATCTTAGTCAGCATAGACATAGTTTATGTCAACAGGGTATCAGGCAAGAGCCTCAGGACTTGACATTCCTTCTTTAAAGAAGTTCAAAAATTAAATGAAGGAAATAATTTCACATAAAACAAAATACAGTTTAGGGTGATTGTGTTATTTTAGTGGCCTTATTATCGTGGAAAGAAGAGTGAAGAGTTGGTTCTTCTGGGGAAACTGGGAAAGAGTTAATAATTAGAGGTTATCTAGTACCAAGTCTTAAAAAGAATAAGATTTCCAGCTAGGGGAGAGAGGGGAAAAGCATGCAATGTCTTGATGCAGGTGAATTCACTATTAGCTGTCTCACTGGTCAAGTTCCAACTTCAATGGCTAAATAAAGTCTAGGATCACCACCACCAGTATTGTCATCACCCTCCATGCCATCACTGTCACTGCTACCATGACTAAACCTGTTACCAGGTACTTAACAGATGCAACAACTATTTTGAGTACTACACAGAGTGCAATGAAGAATACAACAAATCTTGCTCCAAAGGCTGCATTCAAGTGACTAGGGAACAGATATATGAATAGGTGTCATCCTTCAAAGTATAAAATAATCTATTGTAAGGGCCAAAAGAATTCAGGGGCTAGAAAACAAACTCACCCAGTATAAAGAACAATCATTGTTCAAGAACCTAAAGAAATATATCAATGGCCAGGTAGCCAATGCTGCATTTCTTCCATGCTCCATTACCATCTTGCTTTTCTTCCCCTTTTCTCAAACTGCCCAAGCTTCTACTTTTCACACTGATGCCTGTCAGAGGAAGATTTGGCAGTGGATGACAGTATCAAGAAGGAAGTTTGAGTACCACTTTCTCCTTCTCCCTGACTTCAGAGCCACCCTCTGACTAGAACTATAGACTCTGTTTCTCCATCACATTTGAAATATATGTGAATTACAACCTTATGTGCTTTGCATGTTAAGAGTGGCCATTAGTAGGGCATTTTTCTTTACTGAAAAGATAAATGTAAAGAAGGAAAAATAAGAGTTTTAGGACTGAGAAGCTTACTTCTTCACTGTGTTCATTTGAGCATATGTGCAGGAGATCCCATTATTCCTACTCATTCCCCCTTTCCATCTACTAACCCCTGCTTATCCTCTTCTAGTCTTTTTCTCTGAGTCACCATCCTAACATCTGCATCTTGGTCATATGAAACAACACCAGAGTTAAGCACTTGAAGAATTACCAATGTCTGTTTTCCTCTATGAACTCTAAAATTGGGGATCTTTGTTAAATAAATACTATCCCTGCTTCAAGTTAAAATTGTACAAGCCATACACCTTGATATATGTGGAATTAGATCTGAAAACATCTTTGTGGAGACTTTTGTATTTTGCTGGTACTTAATAAATATCTATGAAAAGATGGAGATATAGGTCATTGAATCAATGGGCCAGTGAATGGATAGTTCAATAAGATTTGGACAAATATATAGCTCAGGTACTGGCTTGTCTTAAAGCCCAGGAAGACTATATTATAATGAATATTTGTAAAAAGTGGTTCATGGCCACCAAATTTGGGTCTTCTTCCAACCTGTAGAGGAATCTAGAAAGTAGTGACTACTTCTAAATTTTCCATTGTTCTAAGGTCTGGAGAAATTCTCTTTTGAGTCCTAGACAAATAAACACTAAAAAAAAGCATAGAGGTAGAGAAACAAAGATCATAAAAGTAATGTATGAGGAAGCAAAGATAGAGAAATTTCTTTGAAATCATACTCTTTTTTGGGGGGTGGGGAGGGTTACCTAGTTGAGCATGTACATATTGCCTCACCTTCATGTAGTATATTGGTTCGCATGACTAGTGGGAAAGGTCCTCGGTATGCCATTTGAGTGGGATAAGGAGAGATGTTTGTTCTCTGTGAGTCCAGTTTCCTATCTATTAAATGCAGATAACAGGCGTTAGACTGTTTGATAGAGTCACTGGAAAGCCAGGAATCTAAATGAAGCAATGTGTATAAAAGAATGCAAACTGTTAAGCACTGCAAATGTAAGATACTGCTGTGATGTTGTTGTTGTTGTTGTTCCAGATCTTTGATGAAGAGTACAATGTCTGGTTCCTAGACTGGGGTGGTGCCCTCGTGGCCATGAAACACACACCTCTGCCAGTCAGGCACTTGTGGTAAGGACAGCTCCCTATCCTATTAATAAACAGATCTTCAGTAGAAAAGATTGGGGCAGGTTATTCTGAATGGTTTTGAATTCCCTTTTCCATTTCCTCATACACTAAAACCAGCTTACTTAAATATCCTTATATCATCTACCTTATAGGTAGCAATATGTGTTGTCAGATAAGGCTGAAAAGAATAGAGGGATCAAAAGCCCAGGCTGTCTTGATTTGGAATCCAAATATGAGAGATGGAAATTGCTCTAAAGGGGTGGTAAGGTTCATGTTAACAGATCCTGAGCTGAGTTCTAAGTAAGTTTCAGTTTATGATTCTATAACTGTCCCATTGTAGATAACCTTTAGGTGTCATGTATATTAATTCATCCAAAGATCAAGAGAGTAATCTGGGCTGTTAGTCTAGATTTGTACTAGTTAAAGTAGATTTGGAATAGTTAAAGCTGTGGCTGTAGGCTTAATACTGTAAGAGAGTCTGGACAATGAGGACAACCAGGGACTCCATTAGAGTTGATGAAAGAGAAATAGCCAAGAAGGAAGAAACCCTTGAGAATATGTCTTCATGAAAGCTAAAGGTAGAAATGATAATAGAACCAAATTCTTTAGTCATATCAGATCTGTTATGGAGCAAAAATGCTAAAGGACTAAGTATCTTAGGGGGCCTTTGTCAGAGGACATTTTAAATACAAGTGGAGTCAGAAGAGTTTGTAACAGCTATGAGTGAACAAAAGAACAAGTGAATGACAAACAATGAAATAAAATCAACACAGTTTAGACTGTTTATCTCAGCAAAGCAAATATGTAATGGATCTCAGAGCATATGTGCTTATTCATTAATGAGGACAAAGGGCAGAGTAAGAATATATCTTGAGGGTTTTATATCATGATTTAGGTTTTTGACAAAGGGTAGATGAATTTCTTTTATGCAAATATCTCAAAGAGAAAGAATTTTGGGCTTCATGTTCAGCTAAATAGTTCTTTGTAGGTGAGTCTAGCTAAAGTGCAGATAGTAGCATTCACAGTGGTCAAAAAGCTCGATCCTAGCTTTTACCAGGCCCTTAGTTACCAGTAAGACCAACACTTTGAATGAGAATTTTAGTGCAAAGCATTTAGTTGTCATCTGAGAGAGAGCTGATACCCTGGTGCTAAGTCCAATCTTCAGCAACCCTGATGAAGACTTTTCTCAGTTTGTCTGTTTCAAACAATATAGAATTGTCAGTTTTAGGTTGAAACATGCTTAAAATGTTGGTAGTCTGTTAGAACCTCATTAGTCTAAGGTAGAATAGTTGCATCTCTGACCATATTACTTTACAAGAAAATTATATAAATAATTTTTAAGGATATAAGGAGTTTCTTTCAAGAAAATTGCTGTACTAGCCTATGGGTGAACTTGTGAAAATTCCTGATGTAATTATTTATTATCCATTTCCTACTAAATAATAGTCTGAATTTGTTGAAGGAATGTTACATTTCAGGCACTATTCTAAATTGTTCCAATGAATTATTCAGCTCAACCTTAAATATGTAGTTCTTTTAAAATTACCAATATAAATACCATTTTAAAATACAACTATATCAAATACCTTACTCAAAGTGTTAGTGCACAGGTGTTAATTGGAGGCACCAACGGAGCTCCTGTGTGTTAACTACTAGTGTTTTAGGTACTATGAGGAATGCACAGAGGATTATAACATGGTTCCAGCCCTCTGGGAGATGATAGTCAGTACAAAAATTTTAGATTAACCCAAAGCAATGTCTGTTACAAGATGCTGACTGTGATACTAGGCAGTGGTCTAACTGCAGAAAGTGGCATGGAGATGATATTTGGAGGAAGGATGCCAGGAGTCACAGGCAGAAGTGGTGTGAGGCAAGCTGGTGAAAGTGAAAACTCTGACCCAAGGCTAAAATTTAGAAACGTACAGAGTACTCAGAAAACTGTATTGGACCCAAGGATGGGGCCATGTAAAAGGGTGCAGGATTGAAAAGAACCTGAAAGTCATTTCAAGGCGTTAAGATGATGCTGATAGGTGATCCCTCTTGTTTTAAGGCCCATTTTTCAATCTGTGGAAGCAAGAGTTGCCTTTTCAGAAGTGAGTTGGACTTGTACCAACAAAAAAGAAAGTTAAGTCTTAAACTCATTTATTTTTAACCCAGTGAGACACTGTTTCTTGGCTCTATCATTATGTTTTAGGAACCATCTCAATAAGAGTTGGTAAATTCCCCATACACAAACAGATTAGCTAATCCCTTCCCTTCTAGTGGTGGGAGAAGGAAGTAGCAACTGTATCCTATAGTTGACTGTCTCATGCCCCTCTTTGTCCTTGACTATGGAATTATGTCTGTATGCTTCTTACTGCTTTTGATAGCTTCCTGAAGAGAACTTTCCTTGTTCTGAGGAGAGGAAGAAAGGAAGGATTTGTTGTTTTCTTTATGATGGAGGAAAAGAAAGTAAGCCTATATGGTATGCAAGAAGAGTGTGGTACCAAGAAATTAGAGAGGATTTCAACTCTCACAAAACTTGTTTGGTTGTTTTCTCTTAGAAGCATATTCTTTTCTAATGAGAGACAGAAAGGGAATGGATCCCAAGAGGGTGGTGGGGAGAAACCCGGAGGATTAGAGTGAGGGGAAGCTATAATCAGGATACCTTGTACGAGAAAATAATCTGTTTTCAATAAAACAAAAACAAAAACAAAAACTTAGCCTTCCTTGCATTTGACCATTCAGATTGAGCTGTAGATGTTTCTATCCAGAGACAAACTTACTCTCAAAGGAACAACTTGTCTTGGAAATCTTGGAGGAAAATGGCCTAAGTTAGAAAAAATTACTGAGACTCCACTTAAGGATCTGTAGTCATGAACAACCATTATTACTTAAAATCTTCAATGAAAATTTGAGATTATCCTGTTGAATGTAGCTTTAATTGTAGCATTATACACTAAATGTAGAAAACTGAATGTATTCACCATAAATAAATGGTAGAAGTCTACTGTGGTGGATATGCTAATAACACTGAGTTCATCATTATCTAGTATATAAATAAATCAACCATCACATACATTGTATAAATACCACATGTCAAATTTTTCTTTTTTAAAAAATAAAATACATGATTTATAGAGCCTGCAAAATAATTATATTCTTATTGAATTTCCTCTTGTAAAATGATACTATTTTTAACCTTTTTTAACTTAAAAAAATTAAATATTATTTTTAAACTAGGCTTCTAAGATAGTATTATCTGCATTTAAAGGATGTTGATAGTGATGTTTCCTGAACTTAGACAGGGATGAAGATTTCTATTTATTCCTGTCCATCAATCCACTTCTTGGGAGAAAAGGAATAATTTGCACTTGTGACTGGATAAATGTCAGCTATTGAATGTGTGTGAGAAATTACTATAACAAATACAAATTCATTCAGAAATTGTCCTTTGTGTGTTTTCTTGAAGGGTGTGGGAGTGTTTTGTAAGGACTTGACCATGTCATTATCATCAATGTTTTCTTAAAAATGGTTGACTAATTTTTGCCTCTTTCAAGCTTTTAAAACTCAAATACAGTTCCTTCCTTTCTAGTAGATTCTAATTAAACTACAAACTCTAAAGCTAAAAGACATAGCATATTTTAAGAGGAAGAAAGATTAAGTAGTCAGTTCATTATCATTTTCTCTTATGGACCTCAGACTGACATTATTATGCATACAGATGTATGTATGCATATATGCATAAATGAAAAGCATTAGCTTACCCAGCCTTACCCAAGGGTACAAAGGTTCTCAGACTTAAATAATAGCTACATTGCTTTGCAGAAAAAATAGGAGTCATAATTGAAAAGCTGGAGAAGCTTTAGCAAGGCTAACAAGGCATGCTGTTTTCTACAAATTGAAAGGATAGGTAGCTGGATAGGCATGAAGACAAGACAGCGTACAGACTGAGCCATCTATCTGTGACCATGTAACTTTGGAGGAACAAAGACTAGCGTCTAAGTGCTATTTCAGGTAAGCCCTCCCTCCAGTATTGCCACTGTGTCTTAGCAGTATTAGAGGGAAATGAGCAATAGAGTCCTACTGAATTCAGTCTTCCAGTGAAAACTCACAATGAACGGGGTATCTAACTCACAGGTGGGTGAGGGTGTGATGATTTGCTGAACCCTGTCAGACTGTCCTATTTCCCTTCAATGTTCTTGGAACAAAAAAGGGAAACATCACCTGGCCTTCTGTGTTCGATTGTTCATCTGTACATGGTTGTGGACACTAGTACCTTGTTTTGTTCAGACAAACATTCCTATGAGAATAATAGTTCTAATTAGTGCATACCTCTGAAAAGGAACATTGCATGTGTTGCTCTGAAGAACCTACTGGTGTCCAGCACACCACACCTCCTACATTTACACTGAAATAAAGGGAAGCATTCTACCTTACTCAAGGAAGGAAAGCTGATTAACTAGTCTGCTTCTAATGCTGTGTTGGTCTTGTAGGAAAAACTTTGGTTATTTTTGGAATATTCTATTCTTCCTCTTATGTCAATACTGTAAAGTCAGAGATACACAGACTAGGAAAGGATCCAAGAGGTCATATAGTCTAGCATAATATTTTGTATAGCAGACCATTTTGTGACACTTTAGGGGCTACGACATGCCAGGGTAATAAAACAGTGAAAACTGCTTAGTAAATACTCAAGCTAGAGAGTTCTCTTCTTCTAACATGACTCTAGTTGTTACGGGAAAATGTTCTTAACGCTGAGCAACAATGATTTGACTTAGTATTTTTCCACATTGAATCCAGTTACATACAATTTTAGAATTGTGTAATTGGAAGGACACCCAGATATTTCTTTTTCTAGCCATTCTAAGTTTCCATAAATATATAAATATGCAACTCAAGAAAATATTACCGGTTTGTTCATTTGCCCCATATGTATTCATTGATTGCTTGTTATATACATCCAGCACTACTACAGGAGCTGGGATACACTGTTTACCAAAGCAACTTACATTCTGTATGCA